GGTCACTGCTCTAAATTGAGAAATGGGACTGGTAGCTGCTCCTGGCAGAGAAGCGTGATTGGTCGCAGCTCCAGAATTAGAAGTGTGATTGGACACGGCTCCAAATTGAGAAATGGGATTGGTTGCTGCTTCAGGCAGAGAAGCGTGATTGGTCACTACTCTAGTTTGAGAAATGGGATTGGTTGCTGCTCCAGGCAGAGAAGCGTGATTAGTCGCAGCTCCAGACTTAGAAGTGGGATTGGTCACTGCTCTAGATTGAGAAATGGGATTGGTTGCTGCTCCAGGCAGAGAAGTGTGATTGGTCACAGCTCCAAACTTAGAAGTATGATTACAGCTCCAAATTGAGCAAATTGAGAAATTGCATTGGTTGCTGCTCAAGGCTGCAGCTGCGTGATTGGTCGCAGTTCCAGACTGAGAATCATGAAAAAACTTCCAATAACTTATAAATAAATTAAATAAAAAAGTGTATTACCATTATGCTTTTCTATTTATACAATACAACTTAAAACACATTTATAATAAGATACATTATTATGTTAAAAAAGGACGTTCGAACGACAACTAAAGAAATTCAACCTCGGTGAATGGGATGTCTTAAACACAATGACCGCGGTGGCGCAACAGCACTTTAGCATTGGTTGAATGGTTTCAGATCCATGAAAAGAAAATAATACACATACAGGTAAAATAAATGTTTTCTATAGGCACGTACGTTGTTTTTTTAGTTTGAACGTACAAATGGAGACATTAAGGAGAATTTTTTAAATTTGCCATGGGCACCTCATGTTTGTGTGCCTGACAGCTCTCTCCATTAAATTTGAGTTAAAAATAAGCTAATTGGACTTTAAAGTGTAGTATTTTGCTTTGTTTGACATTATTCAAGTATTATGTAGTTCTGCTCATGCAGTAGGTTTAGGTATTGTGCGACTAATTAAAGATTAAATTGATATTTTATAGTATACTTCAAAGCAATGGTACTGAAAATATATTTTCAACAACTGAATTAGACTGCAATGTCTGTATAAGGTAGCATAACTGGTAAGTCATAGTGAATACTTTTTCTTTTAATTTTTACTTAAGTTGTGTCTATTTGTGCAATTTTTTTACTTTATAAGCATTAATTTCAATATAATTTAATAAACATTCCACATTTCAGCATGTTCTGGCCTGTCCGAGTGCTTGACTCTGACTGGCTTGAATTTCATTAACACAGTGTTAAATGCTCTTTTAATTCAAGTCAGATTGTGGGTTTCTTCAACAATTGCTCAGGTAATTCACTCAGTAAGAAAAACAGAATCCAGAAAAGGTAAAAAGTACATTGGGTATAAATGTCTGAGATATATTAAAATATTTATAAAATGCAAATTTATTTTTTATATTTAATGGTTTAAATAGCACGTTCTTCTACAGGACCAGATAACTTTGTTGTTGATTAATAAATCACCATATTTAGTGATGCAGAACATCTCTTAACCAGACTGCCAAGGAGTAACATTAGAGTTCTTGCAGAATTTAAGCAGTTTTAGCTGGTAGTTATCCAACATTTCACTCACACATATAACACACACACACACACCACACACACCACACACACACACACACACACACACAAACACACACACACACACACGCACGCACGCACGCACGCACGCACGCACGCACGCACGCACGCACGCACGCACGCACGCACACACACACACACACACACACACACACACACACACACACATTTTCTGACATAAACAGAGTGTTGTCTGGCTTAAAATGAGAAAGCGGTGGTATTCCAATCATGATATTTTTACTATACTTGAAGTTGAAACAAACAAGTTGCATTATTCTTGTAATCATAACAAGTAAAACATTCTCTTATTTTAAAAAGCTACCATTAATTGGAATTAAATACATGAGAACTTCTTGAGCATTACTTGGGGTCTGTCAGTAGTCCAAAATTTGATAGAAATTTTTTCTGTACAGGAAAAACCCTGTATACTCTCTCTCTGTCTCACACACCATCTTCTGAATTACACATTATCACTCTCTCTCACACACCATCCTTTAACATGCACTATTTACATGCACAGTATCACTCTGACTCACACTAAATGCACTGCACAGATCACCACATTTCTGTTGCTCTGTATTACTGAAGTTGTTCTTCATTATTGAAGTACATGATGAGTGGATGGGGTAGTAGCATCAAGAAAGTCTGCCTAGATGTTTTTTTCCTACTTATTATTTGACCAAACTTATAGTTTTAAGCTCACTCAGAAATAAAAATTTTCCATGAACTTACCCTCATTTCATCCAATTTTTCTTTCTTAAAAAAGAGTATTCTTCATGAACAATGTTATCCTCGATGATGCATATAATGCAAGCCAATAATTACCATCTCTTTGTAAGTCTTCCTGTTTGGAAATAAGCATATTAAAATAAAACTAACACTAAGTACATATGGTACCTATTGACCTTATGTGTCACATGAGCATGGATACGGTCATTGTAACTTTAATGACTTCTGGCCACATTCATTTTTAGCCATACACCACAGTGTTTTATACTATATGTTTTGGCCAACAATGTGTCCCTACATTAAACATTGGTATACACACATACACAATCACATTTATAATTTTTAATTTGGTATTCAATTTGGTATATTACAGATTATACACAAAATATATAATGACAGAGTTTAATACACTTCACATTTTTATTTTCATTTCAATTATTTCATGTCATAAGTTACTAATTTGAAATGCACACTTTCTAGTTCTTTTGACAAGATTTATTGACATTTAATTCTTTTAGTTGAATTTACCTGTGGGATCCAAGATGGCGTGGCTCTGTGCTCCAGAGACTGCAGTCTAACAGAGGTCCGGCTGCTCTAAGGGACCGGCTGGCAACATTTGCAGACATTTTGTTCCGCCTGACTAAACCAACATACAAATTGGCTGAGGGGGGTGTTTGAATATTTATTTCTTTATTTTTGTTTATTATTATATGAATTGCTATTTTTGTTTATATATTGGTTAATTATTTTAAGTGTACTGTTTGACTATGTTTGGTGGTTGTTTTGTTTTAGTTTGTGATGTTTAGTTTCCTTTTTGTAATGTGCTACTCACTGTCTTTTTTATATATAAGCCCGTTTGTGTGTTTAAAGAGAGGTCTGCTTTTCTTTTTCTCTTTGTTTGTTTAATTGATTTGGTGATGTATATTTGCTTTAGGTCTAGATTTGACTTTACTTCATTCAAATGTTTTAGTTTGTTACTTTGTTCCTAATAAATAAATAAATTTTCTTTTGGAAACTTTGTGTTCGTTGCCCTTGACTGCTTGGTCCCTTACGCATACAAAAAAATATTAACTATTTACCGACATTTGTTATTACTGTTTATCATCAAATTCCTGTTACAGGAATGGCTCAAAAGGTGCACTTTTGTACCATACAAGTGGACATTAGTCTCAAGGTTCACTGTTGTACCTTTTGTACCTTGTTTACTATGAGATACGCATTTGTGCTTTTAAGGTATTAATATGTACCTTTAAGAACCTATTAGGAACAAAACTGTACCTTTTAAAAGGGTACCGCCCCTGTGACAGATTTTGTACTCAATTATTCATTTTCTTTTTGGCTTATTCCCTTTATTCATCAGGGGTCGCCACAGCGTAATGAACTGCAACCTTATTCAGCTTATGTTTTACACAGAAGATGCCCTTCCAGCTGCAACCCATTGCCGGGAAATACCCATACACACTCATTCACATACATACACTACAGACAATTTAGCTTACCCAATTGACCAAAACTGCATGTCTTTGCACTTGGGGAAACCAGAGCACCCGGAGGAAACCCACGCAAAAATGAGGAGAACATGCAAACACCACACAGAAATGCCAACTGGTCCAGTCTGGACTTGAACCAGCGACCAACAGTGCCCATTTCAAAGTAAAGACACCATATTTTATACAAACCATATACTGTCCTTTATTTCTGACTCAATTCATTGTTCCTTGAGCATGTTTATTCCTCTTGGTAAATGTTAAGTTCTTTAGTGGAAAAATGCATTTATTCTGCAAATTATTTTAGTACTTTGTTACTTTGCTTCTCTGATAAATCCCAATCTCTGGGAAACATACACACACTCATTCATACACTCACTCATACACTACGGACAATTTAGCCTACCCAATTCACCTGTACCGCATGTCTTTGGACTGTGGGGCAAACCGGAGCACCCAGAAGAAACCCATGCGAATGCAGGGAGAGCATCCAAACTCCACATAGAGACGCCAAATGAGCTGAGCCGAGGTTCAATCCAGAGACCCAGCGACCTTCTTGCTGTGAGGCGACAGCTCTACATACTGAGTCACTTTGTTTCATTCAACTAATTACATCCAACACTGTGTAAAATAAGGGCAACATAGTGGCGCAGTAGATAGTGCTGTCGCGTCACAGCAAGAAGGTCACTGGTTCGAGCCTTGGCTGGATCAGTTGGCGTTTCTGTGTGGAGTTTGCATAAGCTCTCTAAATAGGCTAAATTGTCTGTAGTGTATGAGTGTGAATGAGTGTGTGTGGATGTTTCCCAGAGATAGGTTGCAGCTGGAAGTGCATCCGCTGTGTTAAAATGTGCTGGATAAGTTGGTGGTTCTTTCTGTTGTGGCGATCCCGGATTAATAATGGGACTAAGCCAAAAAAAATAAAAATAATGAATGAATGAATGTGTAAAACATAGTGCACAAACATAAAGAAGTTTGTTAATATTTTAAAGAGTTAGAAAGCCTTTTGTTGACTGTTGGCTTCCATTGGTTAGACAAAAGAAAGCCTGATACTGCTTTGCTCATATTTACGCATGGTTTGGAACAAGTGATGACAGATATTTTAATATTTTGAATATATTACTATTTTATTATCACAACATAGATTGAAGGTGAGTGATGAGTAGTGTCCATGTGCTCTCCAGTGGGCAGATGTGTGAGCTGTGCTCGCTCTAGGACCCGGTGTCCCCTCTCGCGTCTTTTGGTTTCTTGATGCTCTCCGGGCTCACGTCTTTATGGGTTTCTGACAAACCACTCTAGCCCTCAGATGAGCAGCTCTGGATATACACAAGGATTGTGTGTCTTGCCGATCAGGGGACGCCTGTGGATCATGTTTCCGTGAATACTGACAGAAATAAAGCGTATTTCACGTATCTGCTCTCTCACCGTGTCAGTCTGTATGCATTTGCGCGCGCACTGGGAGTTTCCGTCAATCTACGGATGAGACACCGCTGGAAGTCAGAGCTTCTGTGGCACAACTTTTCTGATTTATTCGTCTCAGAGGATCGGCAATTTTGTAAAACGAAGGTAATTTACCTCATATTTTGTCATGTTTTTGTTTATTGGTTTTGAGAAGAGCAGTTTTCTGAGGATGAACATTTTAGAAATTCAAACTTAGCCCAAGTGACCGCGCCTGATTCATACACAATTTATGTTGTGTCTCGACAGTTTTGAGGTACTGTATCTCTGTTGAAATATAGAATCATTGTAATTATGGTTGTTATATTTGCAAGAGTTTTACGTTGTAAAACTTTTGACTTGCTGTCTGGCTCATTAGTGCGCGCTCCGGAGATGCGCGTGTGCGCTTTACCTCCAAACACAGAAATAAACGTCAGTTTAAGTTTTCTATCAATTAAATTCTTATCGCAGAGTGTTCAGCTTATTTTTGAGACTGAAATTGCCTTTTTGTTTGGCAGGAAAAACAGGACAATGATTCTGCGACGGGGTCATTCTCACGGATTTCTAATCCACCTGTTTCTGCTGGTTTTATGGCGTGCATGGTAAGCAAAACAAAAAGCCTTCTCTCACAGGAGCGCGCATTTGTTCCTGTTCACTGAGCTTTATAAGGTAAAGCCCAACATGGTCCAATAACGCGTGGATATTACACACACTCTCCCTCCCTTTCTCTCTGAGAGTCAGTCATAAAAGCTTTATTGGATAGATTGTCACCATTTACAATACAGCCAAAGAAAATACTGTACAAATAGTAATGAAAATGGAATAGTTTAAATGTATAGTTTGTGGTATGAATGTAGCTTAAAGCGACCCTTTAAATTAACCATGGTTTTATTACAAATAACCAAAATTATTTACAGTTGTATAACCACAACTAACGGAATGGTTCAGCAACACCAACCATTTTAACCGTGGAATTTTCTGTGAAACTGTGGTTATTCAAATGTTAATCAATATACCAATAACATGGTCATTTCACTTTTATTATAGTAAAAAATGCATCATTTTACAAAACAAGAATATTCTGGCATTATTTGTTGTTTATTTATAATTTAAAACATACATGACATTTGTGTTTCGTGAAATATAAAATAATATCTTTTGGAAAGCGTCTCAGATTTCTCCGATGTCTCTGATAAAATATGATTTTACGTTTGAAAACTGTTTGCTCAACAAATTGTTTCAGAAAAGAATTTTTGTTTTGCAGCAGAAAGCCACACTGATTTGGAGGCACTATAATACATTCTGTTTAGATTTTTTTTTAATTTAGTTTACAATTTTTTGCACATTTAATTTGACATATTTTAGAACAATATAGAAATAAAAACAACCATTTTGTTTTGAACTCTTTTCTAAAAATACTATGAATATGTATCTTTTTAATACATCTTGGTAATACATTCCAAGCCACCGAGGTACGTAGTATACCAAAAAATATTTCTTCCAATTTCACTCTTAAATCAATATGTATAAATATCCTTGCTACTTGCCCTATAATGACATTACCCCAATGTCTATACTAAAACATAAATGCTTTGGCACCATTTTCCTTGAAATCTTAAATACCATCAGTAAACCTTTAAAAAACAAATTTTGCCATAATGTTCTTGTTGCAAATGTGTCAGTAGAGGTACTTCCAAAACAAGCCCCAGACACTTTCTTATAACCCAATGTCACAAAGATACAGTTGAAATCAGAACTATTAGACCCCCTTTTTAAATATTTCCCAAATGATGTTTATCAGAGCAAGGAAATTTCCATAGTATGTCTGATAATATTTTTACTTCTGGAAAAAGAAGAAACATCTTTAAATAAAACAAATAAGACCTTCTGGAGATAGTCTTATTTGTTTTATTTTTTAAAAACTATTTAAAGTAAAAAATTATTAGCCCCTTTGAGCCATATATTTTTTTCGATAGTCTACAGAACAAACCATCATTACAGCTATAGTTAACCTAATTAATATAGTTATGCCTTTAAATGTCACTTTAAGCTGTATAGAGGTGTCTTGATGAATATCTAGTAATATGTTATTTATTGTCATCATGGCAAAAATAAAATAAATCAGTTAAGAAATGTTAGAAATGAGTTATTAAAACTATTATATTTTACAATTTTATTTATAAGAAATGTGTTGAACAAATCGTCTCTTCGTTAAACAGAAAAGCACAACTGCAGATTAACCATACACTTGGCATTGTAATGTAATAACACACCATTTGAAGAGCTGATTTAGGGAAGAATAATTATTGTGAAAATCTAAACAAAAATCTTGATTTGCACTGAATTAAATTTGCACAGTGCGTATTCATGTTGAACATAAGACTTGTGTGATATAGTCAACATATTAACCTAGTTTTATACATACGTTTTTAGTATTTATATTGTTTTGAACCAGAAAATTTTCAATTTTATATCTGTTGTTTCAATAAGTTCATTATTTTCGACAGCTAGAAATAGCCTCCTAAATAAAGCTATCTGCTATATTTGCCTGACTTTAGGGGAACAATGTACAAATGTTAATTCTCTGACAATTAATTAGACGGCTACTTGCAGAGCAGTCACAGTGCAAGGATGGTGATTTAGATCTCTTTTGTTTTCATGTATGTGTTTTAACAAAAATATGTGTCAAATATTTTTGGAAGTTGGAAACAATTACTTAAACTGTAAGTGTCATGCACACAATCTGACTTTTTTTTAAATATCAGGAATCAAGTTATTTTGATGAAATTACTTCATGTGGTAATTTTTGAAAACACTCTAGTGATCGACCTTCACTTATGCTGAATCTGGAACATTCCTTTAAGGCTTGTCAGTGATTGCGACTAAATTACTTCAATATTTTCATAGAGGCTTATGATCATGAAAGGAATAATTGTAAAAAAAGTTTGCTATGTACCTAATTATATAAAGTTATGTGCAAATATGCATGCAAACCTAGAGGGAATAAGAGTGTGTTAGTAGACTGGCCTTTGCAAAATCAACTCTCAGGTGTTTTGCTACAGCTGCCACGTCTGTGCTTTTGCCAGATGGCCATGCTCTCATAAATACACTGTACAAAGTGTGTTGAAGCAAAGTGTTCTCTGTGTGTGACTTTGTATAAATGCACTCATCGGCCACTTTATTAGGTTCACTGTGGTCATAAAGGCCTGGATATGGTCAATAATCATACTCAGGTAGGCTGTGGCATTGACACGATGCTCAGTTGGTACTAATGGGCCTAAGTGTGCCAAGAAAATGTCCCTCACAGCATTACACCACCACCACCAACCTGAAATGTTAATACAAGGCAGGATGCTTTCAAGTTGTTGACGTCAAATTTTGACTCTACCATCCGAATGTCACTGCAGTAATAGAGACTCATCAGACCAGTTAACGATTTTCCAGTCTTCTATTGTCTAATTTTGATGAGCAACAAGGCATTTGCAACCCACAGAACTGCCGCTCACTGGATATTCTCTCTTTTTCAGACCATTCTCTGTAAACCCTAGAGATGGTTGTGCGTGAAAATCCCAGTAGATCAGCAGTTTCTGAAATACTCAGACCAGCTGTGCAGGCACCAACAACCATGCCATGTTCAAAGTCAGTTAAATCACCTTTCTTCCCCATTCTGAAGCTCGATTTGAACTGCTGCAGATCACCTTCACCATATCTACATGCCAAAATGTATTGAGTTGTTGCCATGTGATTAGCTGATTATTCATTTGCGTTAACGAGCAGTTGGACAAGTGTACCTAATTAAGTGGCCGGTGATTGTATATTCATATCTCAGATGTGTGTAACACTGAATGTATCTTGTGTAGTTCTGAGGCAGAAGTATCCGGCTCAGATGCCTTTAAAAATAACATTACCCTCTTCACGCGGATCTTGGACCGGCTTTTGGATGGCTACGACAACAGGCTGAGACCTGGTCTTGGAGGTAGGAACACCTAAAAGTTGTTTTTACAGTGCAACTGAAGAGAAAATATGGTCATTTTGTTGTTTCTTTTTCACTACTCATGCGTGTTACACATGCAGTCCAATTGATTTGACACAACAGGACTTAATTTAGTAGCTGAATCCAATAAAATGAGACACGATGTGTAACACAGTAAGAAACATTAAAGTGACTCAGTGTTTATGTGCATTGTCATTCTGACTTGATTTTACCACTGGTAGACTAATTATAACGAGTTGATGACCTGCAAACATGAGCTGAAGGAGAGGAAAACAAAACCCGCAATCAACAAACCCTGTTTCTGTAGTCTGTCAGTGTTAATATATATTTATGTGGCCCTTGCCATTGTTTGTACGCTCTAAGCCTGGCAACATAAAAGACATCATGGATCAAGCGACGCGCACCATGAGGCAAATAGATTTCTCGTGCACCTTTCCTCTCGAGATTTGCAAAGACTAGCACACAAATACAGATGCACTGTAGTCTGGACACGCGGTCGAGCTCCAGCCAGGAAGAATTGTTGCCATGGTTCCATTAATGCGCAGTTAAATTAATAGTTCCCTCAGTAATGAAAAAAAATTGTAATCTGTTATTCACCTCCATGTCATGTGAAGCTACAAATTATGTTCCTTCATCTGTGAGATTTTGGGTATGATACTGTACCTGAGTTTTGTTTTTTTATAAAAAAAAAAAGTGGACACTGATTTATCAAGCTTCAAAAAACACCATCATAAAAGGAATCCACATGATTCATCTGCCACAGCAGACTCCTAAATATAAAGGGTTCTATATCAAGTGGCTCCATAAATATCCGTTAATATTCATGGAAGGTTCTTTTAAATGGAAAAATGTTGTTTATATTATTAAATATTGTTATAAAATTTAATAATATTGTTGTTTATATTATTATTCTTCACACTAAGGAAATAGTTCTTTTTTAAAGCAATCACTGAAAGATCATTGTAAAACTGCCATTTAGAATCATAATATTCCAAGGCTTATGAATTCATATAATAGTTTTACATGAGCAGCAGGCTGAAAATGAAGTTGTTTTTCACTGGTAAAGCTTTTTTATGGTTTCATTGATCTTTCAATATTGTGCATAAGTGGGGTTGATGGAAACACTTTTGCTGAATAATTCCTCAATAAGTGCTGTAATGTGATTTATTTACTTAACAGATGTGATTGAATAACAAAAGTAAACAGTCCACCGTTTTCAACGATGTCTTCTCAAATGTTGTTTTAACTTTTAGCATTTAACATTATAATTCTGTGCTTATTCAATTATATTTTTGTGCTTTTAAATTCAGCAAATTTTTCAATAATGAATTGTGACTGAGTGGTCATTTTCTTTCACATTCGACATGATTAAATGGACTTTTCTCATGTGATAGAACTTATGCTCACTTTATCACACAGCGTCAAGTTATTATTCTGAACCAATGCTGAATTTCTGATTTGAGTTAATTAATTACACTAATGTGATTTAGAACAGCTTTTTCAAGCAGAATCAGGATTTTCTCCATGACTGATTTTCCTTAATTGATTCGGCTATTTTCCTGTTGATCTATATAAAGCAGCTGTGATCAGATCTCTATTGTAAATGGGGTATCTGCTCACCAACTTTATTTCAGCCAGCCAGCCTTAGCGCTTCCGGTGAACTGTCTTTAGATTATAAAACTGCCATGTTTAAGTGGTTTAATTTCTTAAAAAATCAGTGATCTTCACTTCCTGATAGATATATGATATAAAGTGGGTCTCAGATCGGACAAGATGCACTGCATTAAATTCTATTTTTCTCTGTCATGTCTTTAAAATATGACAGTTTATTTTACCCTAGTATATTCAATGGAGTTTCTGCACTAGTCTGCTGGTACTCACAGCACTAGCGGTTACACAATCTTTAATCTCGTTGTAGCTCGAACAACTAAATTAATGCCTAAATGTATTTAAATGTTTGTATTTTTGAGAACACATGGGAAAGCTAGGTTGCTGCCGGAACTGGTGTTATTGAGACCAGCAGGGCCCAACCTGTGGTTTGTGTGAGTCCTAATGCCCCAGTATAGTGAAGGGGACTCTATACTGCTCAGTGAGCGCCGTCTATTGGTCGAGACAATAAACCGTGGCCCCGACAATCTGTGGTTGTTAAAAATTCCAAATTTGCCCAATGTCCTCCTAACCATTCCCATATCAAAATTGGCTTCAACACTCTTTCTCCTCTCCACCAATCAGCTGGTGTTTGGTGTGCGGTCTGGGGCAATATGGCTGCCGACGCGTTATTCAGGCGTATGCTGCACACTGGTGGTGGATGAGGAGATTCTGTGTAAAGCACTTTGAGTGTCCAGAAAAGCGCTATATAAATGTAATGAATTATAATAATTCTTAAATATTTTAATGACATTACAACATCAATGCTAAAAAAGGAACCTATGAAATTGATCACATAAAGCTTTCACCGGAAGTTCATCATTGGCTGAAATTATAGCCCATTGTGCTACAAAGGTGACTAGATTTAATGTGTACCTTCCTGTGTGAAACAGATCGAGTGACAGAGGTGAAGACTGATATATATGTGACCAGTTTTGGACCAGTGTCCGATACAGACATGGTAAGATATTCCTCCTCTCATTTTTGTGTATATGAAGGCTGTAGACTCAGCACAACTGCGTTGGAACGTGTAGCTTCTTTACATATTAGCAAATTATTGGCTAATTTCTGTATGAAATGGAATTACTGAGAAATGTATGACAGTTTAATAAACCTGCCATTAATCCCACCTCTAAACAAGACGGTTAATGGGGGTATGAACTGAAAATATGAATGATATCGAATTCATTTGATTTAGCCTCTAAATGAAAGATTTATGAAATGATTTGAGATTGCATTGGTGTACCCCCTCCTTTATTGATCAGAAATGGGCAAATTGTTATTTAATATTGATGCTGACCTGTTTGCTGTTAGGATGATAGAAAGTTATAAAAGTTCAGTTTAGCCTGAATAGAGAAATGGAGCTTTACTGTTCACAGGTACAAACACAGATTCAAGCATGATGCTTCAGCTTTTAACAGTAAAAGTATGCGAGTATATTTGAATGTAATGTAAAATGACCAATGGTCAGGGATGGATTAAGTGATTTGGGGCCCAAAGCAATTCCAGGTATGGGGCCCTAGCATTTTTGAAAAATAAACTGCATGTTTAAAAGTATATATATATATATATATATATATATATATATATATATATATAAATATATATATATATATATATATATATATATATATATATATATATATATATATATATATATATAAGTATATTTTAATATTGAAAGGAACCTAGCAATAAATCTAGCAATAAATTCACAAATAAAGAAAGACAAGTTCATAAAAGGTGTACAAAACATGACCTCTCTGGACAGAAATTTAAAACATGGAGCAATCACTTGGTTTTTAAATGTCTAATCATCTTGTTTAATCCCGCCCCTTTTCGCAGAGCCGTAAGACAGAATTTCGCAATCTCAAACTCTGGTGTGACTGCAGCTTAAGAGCTTCATTAGCTAGGTGTGTCTGATTGGGGATGGAACTAAATTTTGCAAGACTAAGACTCCAGCCCTCCAGGACCAAGTTTGGGCACTCTGATGTAAAGTTAATTAGCCATTTTTGTGATTAGATTTAATAGTAATGATAGTTTAAAAAAACATTTACACAAATTTAATTCACAATCTATCAAAGTAATCTTTGGTTCATATGAATTGGGTAGTTAGTGCTTGTGAATAAGTGGCCTTTTCACTGGGAAATGTTGTTTTAACGGGCCCTCTCTCAACAAGCTCACAGCGCTTATTATCTGACAGGTGTTTCAGCCAGACAGCAGAATTGCGGAGAAAGTTGAGGTCCGTTGTTCTAAATGTTCTCCAAATTCACACTCTACCTGCCTCTATTCTGATTACTGGCAGACTGGTGTCACTAAAACCTTTGTGATTGTGAACAAAAGCAAAAAAATAATAAATGTTCCATTTAAATTATTACATTTAAAGCAGCGGAGAAGCAGATTAGTTTGACTATATTAGGGAAAAACCTCACGTTCGCGGTGCTAAAACATTTGTTGGTATGCAGAGGAGAGGAATAATCTGCTCTCAATACTGCAGGTGTGAGAGATGGCTTCGTGGCACTGTGCCGCTCATGAGTGCTTTGAGGCAGAGGAGTGACTGATGGTATCACCCGCAGCTCGTCACAAAGAGAAACGTTATGAATGGCACGGACATACGAGTCTCTCAAATTCTCCAGTAACACCTAAAAACATTCGCTAGTCGCTTTTTGAAAATTTTGCGCTGGGGGTTCTAAAATGTCACTAAATTGGCAACATTGGCTTGCAGTAATCTGATTGAAGTGCTCACCCCTCAAGCATTTCCAATATGGAAAGAATGTTCTATTATTCATAGGGGCCCCCGGTTTAGAAAAGAAGTAACAGGGGAATTACCAACCTACATCACACATGACGTCGCAGGTTCAACTGCGCATACCGGTTTTCAAAAAAAGACCGGTTGCAATAGCAAACATGTCATGTTGTGAGGTAGGATGCCACATTCGAAAAAATAAAAAACTTAAATTTTACCGTACACCACACTGCTTTTAATGCTAACCGCAGACATCTTTGGCCATTATAAGAACTGAAAGGAGCGAGGACCTAATTAAAATGCTGGACTATGCAGTTCTCATTTTATATCAGGTAAGTTCACGCTATGCTGAATCATACACATTACTCGATTTGATTGCAGCAATGAATTCAGCAAAAACAGTTACATATGTTTAAATAAACTGCGGACACTGAATGCTAAGAATGAAATGAAAAAATTTAAGTTCTCATACCCTGCCGTACAGGTGCAGTTCACTGTCAAAATGCAGTTGTTTTGCTTGTTGATGATTACCCAGGCCGTGTACACTTCCGTCTTCTTTCCAGATCTTTGAATAGGCAGAACTTCGGTTTTTAGCACTACAAAGATTTAATTCTTGTAATCATGGAACATTGTTTCTTGCACATGACCACACAGAGCAAAATTATTGACATCCACAGACTTGTTGGCCTTTAACTTCTCTCTTGTAAAATCACTTGGAGTTTGTATGAGATTATGTATTTCAGGCTGGATGCTTGGCCATTTTGCCTTATCCAATATACATTGGGTGGTGCTATCGCAAATGGACCTGTCAGATGAACGCTGCTCACTTTAACGTTAATTTTGCCAAATAACTTGGGTGACAAGCTGTTATATTACGCTGAAAGCATTATGTAAATAATATATACAACTTCTAATCAATATAACATCTCTAATACAACAACAAACTCTGTACCGCATGTCATTCCCTTGCTGTAAATGCTAGCGCTCTCGGTTTTTCTGCAACTCGCTGCGCATGCATCCTGAATGTTTACAAACCGGTAATTTATCTGTAATGTTAAAATCTTAACAGTTATAGAAAGATTTTTCAACATATGATAGAAAATGTAAAAAAGAGCTATAGGATTAATATTCTTCTTGTCATTGGTCGGGGGGCCCTAATTCTACGGGGCCCTAAGCCTAGGCCGGCTGCTTACCTCGCTTATTGGTTAAGTCTGCCCCTGCCAATGTTAATACGCATTAATGCATAGTACTGGACATGACTGACAGATTTTACTACTAAATTGACAATAAAGAATGAATCATTTATGTGATTCATGTAATTCATAACTGAATGTGACAAGACAGAAAATTATGTTTTTCAACACATTAGGTTTTAAACAAATCCATCCAGACAAGGTACCACTTCACGTTGTATAGTGCAAATCAAGTAACATTTACTAAAAAATGTCATATTTCCAGGTTGCTCATCTCGCTCACTTTTTCTCTGTCCATGCTATGTCTCTCAGTCCTTGTTTTCCATCTGTTGTCTATTCATAGCATTTGGTATCTGCTGCTGGCTAAAAGCTTTTCTCAGTACTCCTCTTTTTCCCCACTTCACACAGTCTGCTCTCAAATATTTAGAATAGAGAGGGGGGGAAAGTGTTTGGATGGAAGAAAAGGGATTTTTCACTCATTCATTCATTATTTATTTATTGTCTTTTGCTGCCCGTTGGTGTTTTCTAAAGCTCTCTGAAAGCTCTCACTATCCTGAAGTAGGGAAATCTCTGTTTGCAAAGATCATATTATGTCAGGACGATCATCACACTTGGTATTTCCACTTTATTTGGGTGCCCTAGGGAAATCATGATTTAACCGAGTACATTGCTTGAAATTTCGTACACCTCCACATTTCTTTTATTGTCACTTAATTTATCGACATATATACATAGATGACTCATTAGTGACTCTTTCTATGGCTCGCAATGTGTAAACCGTCTCCCCATATAGGAACTTTGTGTCTGCAACCATTAGACCATAAAACAGCCAACCATAGGCATGCAGGACCATCTATATCTGCAATAGACTTTAGCAGATGATTTTTGGAAAACTAATACAGTCATAGAAGATGAAAAAATTTGAGTTAAAATATTAATATTGAGTTACAGCACTGTGCAAAGGTTTCAATAGTATCTGGATGCAGCCTATATGATGCAAGCTGAGATTGCATCACTCAGCAATGCAATTTCAGACACAATGCACTCAAATGTAACGAGTGACTGTGATGCGTAGGGTTAGGGGTGTGGTTAAGGGAGCCCATTAAAAAGCATTGGATGCAGCTTAGATTGCACTGCACCTGGTCTGCATCCAGACCCCTCTCAAAGGTTTAGTGATGGTACAATGACCATATACAATTATTTGCCATTTTCTTGATTAGAATACAAAAAGAAAGTACAGATCAGAGTTGTAATGTATTTGATGTAATGGTTTAAGAGACGTGAAAGAGAGAGTTAGACCTCCGTCACCTCATACACCCCTTATCATCTACAGCAGTTTTGCTCAACCACATTCTTGGAGGACCACCAACACTGCATGTTTTAGATGTCTCCCTTGTCCGTCACACTTATTACAGGTCTTTCAGTCTCTGCTAATGAGCTGATGATCTGAATCAGGTGTGTTTGGTTAAAGAGACATGGAAAATGTGCAGAGCAGGTGGTCCTCCAAGAACGTGGTTGAGAAACACCATTCTATAGGGTGCAGTGAGATTTGGTTAGCTGCAGCCACTATAAATGCTAGACCAGCTACTGTCAAACTCAAATATTTTTTCTTAGGGACCAAAATTAATAGCGGCTAGTGCCTAAGAGTCTCTGTTCTGGTTTTGGGCTGCATTTCTGCCAGTGCTGTTGGCATTGTTGTATGAATTGATAGGGTGGTGAATGCTGAAAAGTACAGAAAGGTTTCAATCCATTATGCCTTTCCTTCTGGAAGGCACCTCTTTGCTAATGGTTTTATTATTCAGCCTGATAATGTTTCCAAAAGCTGCTAATGCTGTGAAACCCTATTTGGAGAAAGAAATAGTTATGAGACGGAGACCATTCTGAGTCATGAAATAACCTCCACTGTCCACACCTGAATCTTAGAGAGGCAGTATGAGCACCAGGACAGAAAAAATAAAGATTTGATAAATCTAAAGTCGCCAAGTTTGAGCTGTGCTTGGTGCCAAGGGAGGTCACATTAAA